GCTCACAGTTTTTATGTCACAAGCTTGTAGAACTCGCTCAGCACGCTAGCCCTGATCTCGCTGCCTTGTCTGTAACTCAAGTTATTCAAGTTTGAATGAGTCGCACCACTGGAATACAAGCTATTTTGCGAGTTGCAGTCAAAGTGTTAATTGACATAATAATTTCCAGCACACCTGGCAGTCTGGCACATCTTCCTGACCATGGACTGTGAGAGCCTGCTGACTCCTGCTCAAAGAAATGCACTAAAACTACCAGTCTACCACTAACTTTAGTCTTTTAGAAACTGTCAGTGTCAAACCCATCCATAAGACAGAGCCTGCTGCTCCTAGCTCATATGGAATTGGAAATGTCCTTATCATTGAGCGTTTGAGCCAGTTGCAGATTCACAAATTTACGGCCGGACTTGCAGCCGGCCTCCAATTAAAAAATTCTCACAAGCTAAACATCACCACTAGGCAATAATGAATAGCTACATGGGGCTGTATTAAGTTCCATCATACTTTGTGATTCCATGTTCACTGAATATGGAGACTGGCCACCAATCTGGCCATAAATTTGTCTAAGACGTGCTATGCTCAGTATGCTGCCTATGCAGGAGCATATGTTCAGTCTTGAAATGCTTAATGGCTAGCACCTCACAAGTCTAGCAGCCATCTCAATTCTCAATCAATCGTTAGTTATGGAAAGATCGGGTTTCAATGGCCGGATCCCATGTAGAATCAAGTCACAAAAAGTACAAGAATCGGCAACAGGCCATGGGCCTATTTTTTCAGTGTCAACACTTCTATTCTATTCTATGACTTACAATACATATATTAGATTTGCATTATTTAATTTTACTGTACAATTTTAAACAAATCATGAAAGGATCAATAAAATGCTAAATATTATTGCCTGTCCATATTTTTTTGTAGGTATCTTGTGTAAATATGTAATTTATTACAAAAAAGCATTGCTATCCATATTTTAGAAGAAATTGTAAAGTAAAATAATGTAAACAGTTACCCCCATATAATCTCAGCACAACAAAGGTTGTGAACTCACTACAAAACCTGTGTCTGTGTGGGCCTTGCTCTTGCATCATTATGCAACCACTTTTTTATTTCTGTGGAAGTGATAAATTATATTTCAAGAGAATTACCCAATTCCGTGGTTGAATATAGAAATTCCGCCCAAATCATAGTGACAAACCAGAGATTTTTTAGAATCAGTTCATTTTTAACTTCCTCATTTACCTAAGATTTAAACAAATTTTTTATGTAGGTATGACAAGGCTGGTATCCAGGATACTTTACTGGTCTACTTATGGGACTCAAAAATGAACTTGAGGGAGAGTCTAAAAAACTCTCTGCTGTTCCACTATGGCCCAAATTTGCACTCACCTGCCATAGAGTAACTCCACAAGTCCAATGATCGATTCTGATGCTCGTCCTACGCAATCAATGCGGCCATTGCCTGATGATCAACACTTACACACACACTTTATGACCAACATAGATGATGCCTGTTGATTGACATGGATGCACGCATTTTATGATCAATGTGGCCTATGCCAGTTATCGATTCTGACTCTTGGGTGTTGCAATCAATGTGGCCAACATTTGCCTGATGATCAACACTTACACATTCATTTTACAACCAATGTAGTCGATGCCTGATGATCGACGCGGATGCACGCATTTTATGATTTATGTGCCCGATGCCCAATGATCAATTTTTACGCTCACGCTGCGCGATCAATGCGGCCTATGCCTGATGATTGACACAGGCACGTGCTTTACAATAAATGTGGCCCATGCCTGATGATCAGCACTTGAGCATGCACTTTACGACCAATGTAGTTGATGCCTGATGATCAACACAGTTGCATGCATTTACGATCAATGTGGCTGATGCCCAATTTTTTATTCTGATGCTCGTGCTTCTCAATCAATGCCGCCGATACCTGATGATCAACACTTACGCATGTCGCACGCACTTTACGGCCAACATAGTCGATGCCTGATGATTGACCCATCACCCATCCTCTGATCGATGTGACCGATGCCTCATGGTCGATACTGATGCATGCGCTTAACGATCAATTTGGCCAATGCCCAATGACCAACACATGTGCTTTACGATCAATGTGACTGATGCACAATCAATGTGGCATACAAGAACATAACACAACTCATAGTACTACATAACAAAACATATTATAACAGAAAACATTACAACAAAAATTATCTTAACACAACACCTCATAACATAACACTGCACATTATAGCACTACATATCATAACCAAATGCATTATAATACATTCTAACATAATCCAACGTATTGTAAAACAACAGAAAATGATAGAACAAATTGTAAGAACATAAAATAACATACTATAATATAGCACAACACTACGTAACAATATATTGTAATAACATAACTCCACACATTATAATGCAACATAACACTTTACATTATAACATATCATAGAACATCATGATATAGCACTATACATTGTAACTTAATATAGAACAATAGAACAAATTATACCAAAACATATAACAGAAGCTCATTGTAACACAACATATCATGATACCATGCAATATAAGACATTATCACTAAACCCAACACACATCACAATGGAACACCACAGATTATAACACAACATAACATAAGATAATATAAGAAGTCAAATAATAACACAACATAATATAACAGAACACATAACACAATATAATACAACTGAACACATTTTAACACATCATAATATAAGACAACACATACAACAACTTCTGATTGACATGACATCCGTTTGCTTGTTTGACGCTAATTACGTAAAGGTTGCTTCAGATAAATTAATCATTGCCATTCCCATGTTTTGCCCCAAATGTAATGTAGCTACCCACTGCTATACCTAACAATATTGAATGGCATTATTCATACATACTTGTATCTATTATACTTTTACATTTTAAGATCTGATGGAAGGGGTGACTCAACAGGCTCTCACCTTCAGATTCCTCCGAGACTCAAGCAGAGCTCCAAGTCTGCTGCTTTGCTTTCTTTTTCTGACAGAGATCAGGCTGGTGGGTGCATTTGTCACCACAAGTCTTAAAAAAAATTTAGAAGGCATTTAGAATGCCACCATGCAGCTGATTTACTATTTGTGTTCTATTATATTATTATGATTTGATTATTCCAATTTTATTATTGCTTTTTTTTCTTACATCCCCCAGCCTCCACTCTTGCCAACCTCTTCCTCTCCCTTGCCCTCCATGCACTCTCCAAAAATTGCTTTCCACTCTGTCATACTGTCATAGCAATAATTATAGCATCAGTAACCGCCATTGACAGGTCCACAATCATTGCAATCCATTTGTCTCCTGTTCACTTGTACATCACACCATCACCCTCATTCCTCTCATCCAGTATCACTCTCAACATTTCATCTCTCCTGCTCATATGCATCACACTCCATCATCAGATGCTCCACAGGTTCCCTCTCATGGTCTCGCCTCTGTCACACTCACACATTATACAAATATTCTCTTTCATTCCACCTGTATGTCTGTGCATTCACACTCAGTCTCAAGGCATTTGCTCTCAGACTTGCACAGAACATAAAGTCTCCATCTCTACTTCTCATACTTCTATTCCATCATTATCATATGGTGGCATAATGGTGCCAACTCAAACTGCAGATTTTTTAGAATCAGTTCATTTTTAATTTTCTAACCTATGTACTCACAATTTGAACCAATATCTTACGTAGTAGGACAATGCTGGTATCCATGATACATTACTGGTCTACTTATACTTACAGGACTCAAAAACAAACTTGAAGAAGAGCTGAAAAAATCTGCATTTTGACACTACTTTGGCACCATGTCAGAATCCACACCCATAATGTCTCAGCAAGTTGAAAGTTTCATTGCACATTTGCACCTCTGATTCATATATTTTTTAACAAGTGGGCCATCAGATATTTGTACCTATATGCCTGCAGATGATCATGACCATGCTAGGATTCTCAGATCGGGGAGTCTATGGCAACACACCATTCACTGCCAGAGCATGAGCAAGCTTCACAAGCTCATGCTGTGGAAGCTCAAAAATCTGAGAGCCTATATGTATTTTATCTGAAATCATTAATGAGAAGAAATTCAAAGATCAACATTCATCTTTTCATAGAATAATCACATTATTGAAAATAATTGAACATCTTGCTACTTTTTTACACCTTTTTGACCGTTTACTAGACATGCTGCTTGAATATCAACAGCACATTATCATCATGGGAAGGGACCAAGACTACTAGAGAGATTAGCTTGAAAAATATGAGAGCCAACAGCCAACTGTTAGCACAGCTATCGCATCTGAAAATATGTAATAAGCTGATTTCTATTGGGAATTGGGGTGCTTGGTGACCTCCGGTCACGACCTTTAAATCGGTCAAACTTGCTGCCTAAAACTTTTAGTAGCATCAAAAAATTAAAAGTTTACACTCGTATGCTAACATAAAAGTTCAATTAAACCATATTCACAGCTGTCCTAAGAAAAAAACTAAACAATTTTGTTATGCAACACCCAAAAAAATAAAACAACGTGCTAAAACAATTCGGTGTGGTCACATATGTCTTCCCACCCTCCCCTCTCTCAACCCCCCATTCCTCACAACCCCACTCTTATCATCCTCTTACTCTCCCTCATCCTCCACACGTTTTCCAGATATCTCTTCACACTCTCAAACATAGCCGCAGTTGCTCCCTCAGACAGACCCGTAATTATCGCCATCCACTCCTTGCTTGTTCTCTCATGCCCCACTTTTTCTAAATGATCTTAACTTTTATTACAATTTCTAAGAATGTCTTTCATAATAATGGTTGTGCAACCAATTTCCAAAGCCAAATTTTATGTTCAATTGGGTTTCCCTGGTTATTGTTTCCTGCCTCAGTGTACATTGAGATCATCTCTTATGTAGCTTTAATAGACAAATGCCCATTACAAATGTATCAATTAATACATGCATCTTTATCATCCAATTTTGCCAGAAGCCTTGAATTGTGATAGTTTAAATTAATGATCGGTACATGCAAGTTTCAAAATGTCAAACATTACCTCCACTGCCTGCCAAGTTAAACAGGTGGCAGAGCAGCATCTTTCTGTTGGTCTCACAAAGTGTCTTTGGTCTCCAAAAATGGACCTTCTTTTGACTTCAAATACACATGGCAAGTACTATTTTGTGAATAGGTCAAGAAAATATAGTTCAAATAATGCTAAATATATGTATATGCAAAAATTTTTTTCTTATTTTGTAATGAAGATTTGTACTTTAAATCTTGAATAGCAAGCAATGAATATTAATTTTTCAATTCTATCTTGCACTTGGCCAAGCAAATATTTAATAACTAATATTTAGAAGTAAATAATGGCTATCTTAATTTGTGAACGTTATTTATTACTAGATAAACACCACATGCTCTATGTTGAAATTAAATGGAACATGAGTATAAAGCTTATACTCAGTTTAACGTCTATTTGAAGCAAATGTACATGTAGCCAGAGGTTTTATTCTATAAAATAATAAGTTATATTGCTGCACACTCTTTGATATCAATAATAAAGCTTGGAATATTTTAGCTTGCAATTTTTATAATTTGATTTGTTTGATGAGGTGACCCTACAATGTGTGTGCAGGCCACGTGTTGTTGCAGCGTCACAGATCCCTTCAGCGGGTGTGGCAGTTGTTGCCCCATGCAGAACACACCACTGTTACTGGGCTGGCCTGGAGACCTGACAGCAACCTCATAGCAGTTGGCTACCACACAGGTGTGTTCCTGTTTATATGTCTTCATAGAGTAAGGCTTTGATACTTTATTTTTCTTGTGTGGAAATCAGGCATTCATATTGGATAAAATTGTAGGTATATTGCACCTATCATAATGAACTTAGGCGAGACAACTGCACAAATTATTTGTGTTTGTAGCTCAACAATTGCTTGCTTTTGCCTGCAATTATAATTAAATTCTGTTCAAAAGAGCGTTAAATTTTTCATTCTAAGCCTATGAACTTGATTATGTTCCTGTTTCATTGCAGGCCTTGTAATGCTAGTCACCCTTGAGAGCGGCACTGAGGTGCACAGCTTCGAGGTGGGCGAGGGAGTCACGAGTCTCTCATGGCATCAGTATTCTCAACCTGTTGCTGCCCTTGAAAAAGTTAGTAATAATATATTTCTCAACAGCTTTTTTTGGTTTCTTATTTTTATCTATTGTATTGATTGTATTAATTGCTTTCATTCAAATTATGCAGGAAGTAAAGCAAGAGAATCTTTAAATTTATAAATTGTGAATGACTCATTGACTGAATTCACTTGGCAGCAAGATTTCCTGTGATTAAATTGTGGGTTTCAAAGTTGAACATTCTCCTTCTGACTGATATATTTGCCTACCTAATTGAGCTAATTAACATTAACTTAATTTTATTTTATTGAATGCGTTATAAAATATTATTTTTGCAGGATATGTGGTCGGAGTACATGACGCCTTTGCCAGCATCTGACAAATGGTTCACTGAGAGTCACTGTGAGGGCAACAGCGATGATCCAACGTGTTGGCAGAATAATCATATCATTAGGAATCAAGACTGCCTCACTCTACTGGTGGTCGGTACTGCAAACTCCAAGGTGTTGCTCTATGCCTTTGGATTTGTTCATTGTGCTACTGTGGAGTTGTCAAATACCGTACCCAGAGCCGGCGCCGTTATTGAAGCTCAGTGCTCTGATGGTATGAATCTCCTCAGCATTATTGTTGAGAGACCGTCGATTGAAGGTGAGGTGTCTGAAAACCCGGCCGATTATACCACTGAAGGCGTTCACGTCACTTGTGACATTGCTGTGATCTCTGAACACCACAAGGAGTTGTATTTATTAGCAAGAAAACATGCTGAAATTCAGTCCCTCATCAACTACGCTACAGATGCCATTAACAGGCTGAGAGAAGCATGGGAAGGTATCCTACTGGAGATGGACACCAAGCTTGATGCTTACTCGGGAACGAAAGAAGAAGGAGAAGTTTCTGCCGATTTCCTTGATTTGCTAGTTTTTGGATACTCTTCCCCTGAGTTCCACATGTTTCTCAGCAATAAATTAAGTGAGAAGGGATTGAAAAAGCTTCGTCAGACTGTTGAATTGGGTTATACTAATATGCACAAGTTGGTTGTAAAGCAATTGGAAGCCGTTGGTCAAGGCCTAGTGTTTGTCATCAGTCAGATGCTCGGGATGGCCAGACGGACTGACAGATACGGGCAATTGGGTGTAGAAGAGTCAGTTGTTTGCCAATCTCTTAAAGAGGCCGGGGCTTTTCTTCTGAAGACTGGTGAACTGCAGCAGGTAATCGGCACTTCAGTGAGAGATTTTCTGGCATTCATCAAATGGTTGGCGGCTGTTCATTTGCGCATCAACGGATTGCAAGTTACCCAAGAACTAGCGAAGACAACACAACAAGAAACGAGCCACATTATGGGGTTTCTTCACGATACTCTTGAAGAAGTGGTCGTTGATAAATATGGCAACCGGCATCGAAAATTCAGGCTAGAAGGTGTTGGTCAATATCTCAGTGAAGAAGAATTGAAAACTCCTGTCAACGCCAGCAATAATCCGTGGCTGCTGTTTTTGCAAGAGCACCCTGAAATGCAAGATCTTCCACTCATTTTGCCTCCGCGACGGAATGAATCGCTGATCCAAAATTACAACAGTCTTTCACTAGAGCTCACAAGAATGGCAGAGCGTTCTGTACACGTAATTAGCCAGAACATCCGAGTTTCTTGTGGAGTTCCTCTGGTAAAATCTACCTCGGAAACAGGTTTAATTGTGTCTCAATGCTGTTGTTCGAATGATAAAATGAATGCTATTATCGTTCCAAAATCGTTTCCATATATGTTCTTTTTTTACGAGTGGAGCACTGACCTAAATGACGTGTACCTCTCCTGCACTGATGCTTCAGTAGAGTCGATTCAGGCGATCGGTGCGTTCTACTTTAGCCGCAGCCACGCACTTGATCTACAAGCGTTTTCTTCTCCAAATGTCTCGATTGTTTCTGAGGAAGGTAAAAAGCAACCTGCTGCAAGGATTATTGGTGCTCAATTCTATTCGCAAGACATTCTTTCCGTTCTTACTCAGGACTTTGGTAACGTTATGCGATGTCTATTTGTACAGGTCCCTGTGGGAGTCTTGCGCAGCAAGGCCAGCCTTAACCTATATACATCTTACAACTCTAACGTTTCTGATGACATCTCAGTGCCGGCGTGTGTTCGCGTTGCACAAGAAGCTTACGAACGAGACTCTTCGTCGCTTAAACAAAACTCTGAAGCGCCTCTGGACTTGTCTGCACGCTTATCGCCGAAGGCCGTGAGGACCAAAGAACAACTGATGTGTAGCACAAGCTCTGCCGACACGTCTGCGGTACTCGACAGCTCTTTTGTTGGCAAGATCAGCGCCGTAGATTTGTCAGAAGCAATAGAAACATCTGACGTGTGTCGGCTTGACGTGGCTGGAGGCCTCTTAGCTGTGTCCGGCAAGAGGAAAGTTGCTGCCGTTGTTGCATCTCACAGAAGGACTATAGTGCTCTACGAGACTGAAGTAGACGATGATGAAGATGATGACGAAGAGGGAGAAGTTGAAGATGAAGAAAGAATACAAGAGGAAAAGAAAGAGTGAACATTGTGTGACCGGAGTGAATTTCACTGCACTGGCCCATAGAAGTAACAAAATTCGCTAAGTACGACATTAGTAACGTGTGCGTTGACCCATTTTTAATTGTCCAGAGGTGACTATTGGAATAGAAATGACAACGAGGTCTGACGTATCTAAGATTTAATTCGAGTATGTAACCAAGGCACTTATAAAATCATTGAATGGCGAACGAGATATCAGGCTTCATGCTACAAATAATTCATTCCATTGATATTCTTAACAATTAACAACATTCCTTAAAAATTTGATTCCAAATAACATCTGTCTCCATTCACAAGTACTTAAATATAGGTACAAACAGCAAGTGTTTCAAACATTTCTATTCTTTGAATCGGGAACATTATTTTAATATTTAAACAGAATAGTAAATAAAACCGGTTCCACGCCAGACTTTGATATTTTCATTAACATTTTGATAATTTACAACGGTTATGAAGGACGTTTTCTCTTGTGCACTCTCCGACGAGACTGAGTTTGGACTCCGGGCTTGCCCATCTTGAAGGTGATGCACTGCAAGGTAGTTATCAGGATAGTGCAAAGATAGTGAGCAAAGCTATTTCAGCGAATCATACATAAATGCGACCTAAACGTACTTTTACGAAATAGGTTCAGATTCTATAGAGACGTACAAAGATAATAACTATGAAGATGTATAAAGATAATAACTTACAAGATAAATAACTTATAAGATATTAGTAATTCTAGTCAAGTGCGGAGAACTACTATAATTATTTTCATTCCTCGAGGTCACCAGGTATATTGAACTTAGTTTATATTCACCGACTCGTGCTATATTTCATGTGTGAAATGCTCACTTGTTGGTCTAGAAAATCGACGAGGACGGCCATGGAGCACTTGATGCCGGAGTCAGTAGCGAGTTGCTTGATGTGATGCAGCCACACAGGCTGGTAGAGCAGCACGGCTCTGTGCAGCGACGGCTCAGACGCGATCAGGGCCCGCAGTCTCTCGTGTACCTTAGGCCCTCCTGCAGCCAATACGATTTATTAATGTATAATTTAGGTGATATTCATCGATTTCGATCCATTTTGGAGAGAAGTTCTAATTGCAGATTGCAATCTCGATTTTGAAGAATATCGACTTGATGTTCAGTGCACATAAACATCGACTAACTACCATGGTAGATAGCAATAATATTTAAGAGCACTAATTTAATTGAACAATCGAACGGATAAAATGTAAATTCAGAATATATATATCATTATTATTGTAGTTAGAAAGAAAATAATAATCAGGCAGTCTCGTCTCAAGGCCTGCACGGGTCAAATTATTGCCGCAAGGGATGCCAATTTGATGAAAAGTTGGACAGGAATAAAAATTATCTCTAGACAGGAATAATTATTTAAATATATAACTTTGCATAAAATCATGTCAGCACGCGAAAGCAAATTCTGCAAAATTATTGAGAAGCATTTTTTATGCAAAACTAGGTGAATTAGTGTTCAATTAATTGACATGTTCTGCCTTGTATCGAAACGTATCGTAAACTTGATAAAGGTTATCTTAAAAGCAATATGAAAATAAACCACAGCAGAAACGCGGACAAGAAATTCACCTTGGTTTGTGGAGTCCGAGTCGTCGTCTGACAGAGGTTGTGACAGTATCGCTGACTCCTCTAAGCATCCTTCACTATTGGGAGAAAAATGTTTAATGAATACAAAAAAGTATACTATGTCGTATGTAATATGCTATGAATTCTATGAAAAGCAAACGTACGTCATTCATGGAGAACTGTGTGTAAATATAAATGCTAATTAAACTGTACTGCAGAATTCTGAAAACATATTGACGGCTGAACATCAATGTCAGTTGAGTGAGGCTTCTAAACTAAAAATCAAATAACAAAGCAAAGTGGGATCCTGTAAACTCAATGAACAGTTTTGCGCAAGGGATTGTTAATTCTCGATTAACATGTTAAGCTTGCAATAAATACTCCGGCAATATTGACTTACTCGTCATCGGGGGAAGATAAGTCGACCACACTGGGCTGCACAGGCCCCTGGCTTGCGGGCACGGCGGGTGGTGGGGCGGTTCTTCCTGCGAACACTGCGGTTAACACGTGACATTAACAGAATAACTCAATTATCTCGGTCTGAACACTGCGGTTAACACGTGACATTAACAGAATAACTCAATTATCTCGGTCTGAACACTGCGGTTAACACGTGGCATTAACAGAATAATTCAATTATCTCGGTCTGAACAACCACTCGTTCATAACAGAAAAATGTTTACATAAGACGCGTGATAGGCCGCACTTCTACACACATGCATTACTTCACTTCTAGCATTAACTGAACAAATTATAACTAACAACGATGCACGAAAGTGAGTGCATTGGTTTACATGAAATAGCCTCAATTCGATAAAATAAGTTTGATGTCTAACCTCGTTTAGCTCTGTGAGCTCCAGCGCGGGACCGGCCAACAGGAGTTGTGTTTTGCTCCCGTCTTCTGGAACATGCAAAGCCAATATAAGAAATAAATTAAATTCTGAAAATTTATTTCAGGTACAGTTCTAGTAATTTACGTGAAATATTAACAAAATTTACAGGTTAATATAATGAATTTTACTACCGTTCAAATTTCCACTGAAGAGAAGAAATGTTATGCATTACGTATGCTCTTGAGCTTTTATGCGTGAATGTAAACAGTGAGACAGTATAGAAATCATTATCTCATAACTAATGAAGCAGTTATTCGTAAACTTGCAATGAAAACCACTTCTCCTTTATTCTGGATAATTTGAAGTAAATTAAAATGCAGATTTAATTCGTCCTGAACACCTCACCCTCCTAATGCTGGCTGCAAACAATGCCTCAGCGGCCATGGCTGTGCGATGAAAAGTCTAAAAAATATAACTCATTACTCGCTGCAGTGAGTGACAGAGAGCGCATTTTTTCGTCGACGAAAACGTGGTCACGGACGGACAGACGGACGGACATTGCGAGCAAAATAGCGCCTTTTTTCCATAAATGAGAAAATGCGCTAAAAATAGCGAACATTTCAGTTGGAGAAGCGTTGAACACTCCTGGGGCCAGAGTATCGACCCACTTACTTCTTACCGTCGTATAACTGACGCCAGAAACCTATATTTGCAGTAGGTTTAAGTAACAATTAAAGCAAGTCAAGTTTTTGCTTGTAAACTATACGCTATATATTGCTGCTATATTGTTTAGATGACAATATTTGTATTGTCATCTAAACGAATAAAATTTTACAAAATCGGTCAAGTTTTAGTTATGATGCAGGAAATCTGACCCAAGTTCTGGAGAAGCCGGACTGCGGACGACGGGGTGCGTCTGGTCGTAGATGTGCTTGAGCATCGCGCGCGCCTTCGCTCTGGGTAGCGGCCTTACGCCGAACTGCTCCAGGGCTCTCTGTGGTAACACATTCTGATGAATATATGCTTAGAAATGGAAACAAATGGTCATTTGGAGATGAGAAACATGCAAACTATTTGATTCTGGGAGTAATAAAGGATATAGAATAGAATAGAATAGAATAGAAGTGTCGGCGCTGAAGAAATAGGCCCATGGCCTGTTGCCGATTCTTGAACTTTTCGTGACTTGATTCACAAGGGATCCAGCCTTTGGAACCCGATCTTTCCATAGCTGACGATTGATTGAGATAGATGCTGGACTTATTGCCTGGTTTTCAAATTAAAATTATTCAAATAAAATTATTCAAATTTAAGAGCCAACAATGAAACGATGAACAGCAGTTAACGAGAAAAATGCAAAAATACTGATAAAAACTATCTCAAATGAAAAAAATTGCGAACCTGATTGTAAATTATAACGTAAAGATATTCTCGCCTTGAGTTCGGGCGACGCCATGTTTGAGTAGTCGGGGCGTGGAGTGATGGGAGTGCCAACACTTCCTGGAGTGGCAGCAGCAGCAGGAGTGGTTGGGCGTTGAAAAGGAGAATCTGATTGTCGAAGCTGCTGAACTCTCTGAGGTAGCGATCCAAAGTTGGGCCCGGGAACGTCATCTCTCTGGAGCCGACGCGCTCTAAATGTGAACGTTTTCTTGCGCCGATTTGTTTCATTGATCAATGCGATGCCAAGTGAATCTGAATTTTTAACTTGTGTCTCCATTAAATTTTGCTGCGGTTTTACAGGGCGGCAGCCATTTTCAATAAAGTTTAGCTCTGATACATCAGGAAGTTGAAGAGGATCTGAGTCCCGATGAGAATTTTCTTTGGATTTACATTGACGGTAACCGAGTCGCGATCCCAAACTCCTATTAGCATCAAATTCCATTTCCATGTCAGTTGAAACATCATAATTATCGTCATAAAATTCAAGGTCATAATCCTTTTGCCCGTTATCGCCGCACAATTTCCTTTTGGCTGAATTTCGAACACTTGCGTCGCGCTGGCCAGATTCAGAACAGCCCTCTGGGACGTTCGTTACAATAGATACGTCTGGAAAATTTGGGATAGAACTCCTATCATCAATGGCTGTCGAATTCAATCCGTGAATATCGTTTGGTGTAGTTGATTGGCATTTTGGAGCTGTTCTTTTAAGCAGCTTAGGCGTGTCTGGCATAGCTGTCAACTCGAAGCCATTACCGGCCTCGAAATCGTCCCAAATATTGCTGGTGTAAACGGCACTTTGATTACTGCTCTGCGCAGACTCAACGTCAGTGGTCTGATCATAAGCTTTAGCGACACGACATTGCTCTTCATCAGCACGTTCCACCTGCCCGGGAGAACAGGGAAAATTCGGGGCATTGTCTGAGCTTAATTGTTTAACATCAGTGCTATCACTGTCGGAATCGCTCATCGTGATATCGATAATGTCTTTTTCAGAAACCACTTCCTCATTTTTATTGGTAGTAATAACAGAGTTGGTATCATGTAAATACGTACCACAGTGATCACTTCCCGCTTTTGATATTAAATCTTGACTCGGAGGCTTCGAAGTTTGGTTGGGTTTAGTATAAATAGGAGGTCCATCTTTGTTTGAAGTCGTATTCCAAGGAACATGCTCCGCATTGCCAGCGCCTTCATCACTGCTGGTATCCTCAAACATATCAGGCGATTGCGATCTGCTAGCAAACGCATAAGTGATATTTCGTTCCTTAGCATTGATATGTGTTGTATCAAAACCTTCAAACGTATTATTCATGGTCGCCAGGTTATTATTTTTGGTCTCGCTAACATCGTTAGGGGCAGAAACTCTGGCAATCGCTACCGTGTCAGAAGGCATGGGATCAACAGCTGACTCAGTAAAAACACATTTGCTTGAGTGAGGAGACTCAGTGTTGCAAGCTACAAGTTCAGGACTAGGACTCACAATAAGGCATTCATCCTCGTCATCGACACGCACAATATTGTGTAGAGATGGCAACGACAGTTCCTCGTCTATATGCTCACTGCATGATGCTCCGACTGCCTCGAAGGAATTAGGTTCGCTGGTTCTTTCTTCATTTGCATTTAATTTTACTTGTGAGAATGAAGAGCAGTTTTCAATGGAAAAACTTTCGGCAGTTCTTGACACAGATGGAGGCTTTTCTTCAGATTCATTCCTAGCTGCATCTAAGGGGACCTCGCAGCAATTTTGCCGATCTTCACTTTCAATTTGAGGGAATCGTAGATGTAAATACTCATTTAATCTCCCACATTTATATCTTGAAGCCAATTGTTTCATACACGCCAGATCTGTATCACTGAGAGAAACCTGACTTGGAATTCCGGCGTAAATATAACGTATGAATGCTTCAGCGCACTCAGATGATACCATCCACTTTAGTTCTTTTTTAGAACAATAGTAATTTTTCAATTCGTCGTACAGTGTACGGCATCGGACAAACAATACTAAGCTATGGACACGAATAGAACCATTATCGGTTAATATTGTCCAATCTGCTTCATCTCCATTCTTTAGAATCTCGAGCCAATCGTTGCTAACTTCAGACTTCATGATTGTTTCAATTCGAGAGAGTTCACATGCTGTAACGGTAACTTCTTCCTTCGGTGAATGTGTTGGAATTTCATCAAATTCATCGGGTTTCGGTAATGACCGAAAGTAGCGCTGTAAGTTCCATTCATGGAACTCGCAAGTGGCCGAGTCACTTTCGTCGAGGTAACAATCAAGTTTGCTTACATTTTCAACGGAGAAAAAGCTTGAAGTTTGGTGATTAAGGAGTCTGCTGGCAGCTTGCGAGCTCTTCACGAAGGTCGCCAGCACCTCGTCACTCGAATCGCTTGCAGGAACTGAAGTGATATTGTTTTGGATCGTCTGTGGGAGATTGTCGTGACAGACACTCGAGACATTCATCAGGTCTCTAGACTTGCCTTTTTCATTCGAAATGGCAAGAAGGGTATTAGGAGAAATAAGAACATCAGATTTATTTCCCGAACCTAAACGTATTTTTCCGACTGAAGATACTATGGGCTTGGATAAGAGAGCGTTTATTTCTATTGGAGACTTGCAGGTATCATTTCGAGGCACCTGGTCTTCGTTCAGTGCTGTAGATGGTAGAAAAGATTTCTCTTCACGTTCAGGCAACTTTTTATTGGGTTCCGTGTGTTCGGAATGATTAAATTTTTGAGGACGACCACAGGACTCTTCACGCCGGTCATCAAAAACTACTGTTGTATTAGAGTGAGTGCTCTGGTCGGATCTGCCATCGCAGTCTTTACCATCCACTGGTTTCTGTTCATCGGCCCTGCCATTTTTTCCTTTTAATTTCTGTCGTAAATTTACTCCAATTTCACCATTTTTTAATATTACCTCCTCATCTCTAATACTTTCCGTATTTTCAAGTATATTTTCAATTTCTTCATGCTCATGAAATGCAATATCGTCTTCAAAAATTTCAGTTTTTGCAGGAGACTCGCTCTTGTCGCATGGTTTCTCATCTCCTGAAAAAACTTCACCCGCCCTCAGCTCATTATTGGCATCAATAACTTCAGTATCATCGCCATCGTTGCTACTGACGCATTCACTGGCGCTGGTATTCCGAGCGCTGGACTCCGGTGCTTCTCTATTGAACCACGAGTTATTTTGCGCAACTTTCGGTATCTCAACCACCGTCGGATCTCTCTTCAACCCAAAGGTTAACTTGCTTACTACAACGATTGGTAACTTTGTTACGACGTTATATGTATCATTGCATTTTTGTATACTACCGTATGAATTATTATTTACAGAGCTATTTAGTTTACTACGGGCATCTGAAGACGTCGTCAACTCATCAGAGGACAAGGATGGAAGATGAAGCAGGGGCGTTGCACTGTCCTCTAAACACTCATCATTCGCTAAGTTTCCGTCATGATTTGATAAATTTTCTTGCCTCGATCCACTAGTTCGACCGAAATCAGACATTTCTTCGTCGGTTTCATCCACTGCATTACCCGATATATTTTTAGAACTTACATGAAACTCGCCGTCTGAAGATTGGTTATTAACGGCGCTGTTTCTTTTACTCTTTCTGTCATCTAATTTGGTTTCCTTGCCCTCGCTGCAACGGGTTAACTCGACGCTGCAGTTCTTCAACGAGTCCAAAATTTCAGTGGATACGTTCAATTTTTCGTGGATTTGAGAGCCGGGACTAGAATTATTGCCATAAAATTTGCTATTTCTTGACGTTTGTAAAGAACTAAAAGATTTATTAGCGCCGGGGGAAGTGTTAATTGTGAATTCTCTCTTTCCCGAATGACATGAAGTGTCAGACGATGAAGATGAATCAGAGATACGTTTTTTTCTAAGTATTTTTTCACACTTTTCGTCATGCTTTTCAGGGCTTGGCTTGATATCATCGAAGACTTTAGGAGTCATGCCAGGGTGGAATTCTTTACTATGCGTTTCTAAGCATCCCACATCCTTGACTGTTCCACCATCGGCCTCTTGGCCGGGACTTTTCTCCGACGGAGCGGGCGGTACAGCTTCGTTCATCGTATCGTCAAACAAACAAGACTGTGAGCGTAGCAAGTCCGCGAGAACGCGCTGGGTTTCGCTTAAAGAAGCGCTCATGAATGACGCTGAGCAGCTCTGGTAGTCTTCGTCATCTGAGTCAAGATTCTAAAATGGAAAGGTACAATATTTTATCAGAATCATATTTGATCACCACACGATTATATAACACTTATTAATTTTAAATCAAATATGAGAATATGAGAAAATGCCCTGATAAAACAGTCATTCACAGGTGGCTTTAAGGTATCGTCATACATTAAAGTATACAGTTTCCCACAACTCGTCCAATATAAAAAATATAACTCAGTACTCACTGCAGTGAGTGACAGAGAGCGCATTTTCTCGTCGACGAAAACGTAAAGTCAAGGACGGACAGACAGACGGACGGACGGACATGACGAGCACCATAGTGCATTTTTTCCATAAATGAGAATATGCGCTAAAAATGAACAAGATTATCCCAAATGAAGACGAGTGTTAGCTGCTGGCAGCTTGGACGGGTTAGAAGTGTTTCGTTTCAATACTCAATTCAGCTACCGCCTAATCAGCAGCATTATGTTTATGTTATGTGATCCGCCTAATGAACCTATTTAAAATATACTGGGTCAGCTAGGATATTATTGCCTGAAGACCAAAACAAGTCACAAATTTGGGAGTATCTAGACAGACAAGCCTGTAAATTAGCAGTCAACTCTACAATTGCAACGATTGTTGTTAGATGCGTAGGGCCGAAGAAATACATAAGGGGGTGCCGGCCCTTATGTATTTCTTAATACATAAGGGACTCACCAAGCCCTGGGTGATGTTGAGACGGCCTGGTATCTGCGAGAGGGCCCTGTGGAGGGTCAGGTCCGCACCTCGCCCCCCAGCAGGAGGCACGATGTGAGGGGCGAGCTCCGCGACGTAGTAACGGGACAACTCTTGTGGTTCTTCGGACTGCAGCGACCACAACGGTTTACCCTGTTAAACAATCAATACTTGAATCAATATTAACATCTGCCTTCGAATTTGGTCTTGACTGCCAACATCATCAATGTTAAAAGGTAATAAATGGAAACATTCTAAGTCTTGCATTTAGAATGTGCCAACATTCAAACAAACGGCATAGATTTTGCACGAGTAAGCTGGAATTTTATGCATATATAACAAGCCATACACCTCATGAACCACTAAACGCAGAATCGATTACTATCAATCAAATACTACTCGTATGTTATGTCATTCAACGTTCGGAAATCGTTTCACACAAAATAATCAATAGATATTTCATTAAGTAACTGTCATTAACGAATCAATGGGTTAGATAAACACTTATCATCTGCAATACACGAGCGACTGTTAACTCAATTACCAGCAATGTGCAAAGTCAATACATAACAAGAAGGCACCCTTCTCTATTGATAAGCAACAAGTTTATCAATAGATTTTATCACTCCATCACTAACTAACTTCGTCCACAGCGGAGCATAAATCTTAAAGATCCAAATCAGTAATCCACAACCTACGGCCGCGGGTCACACTCTGCACGCAATAGAGCTTCATGCTATTTTGACCTAACACAAGATGATGTCTCACTCTTTTAACCCTGACCTAGTCACTGGGCCATAACTTCTTCACCATCAGTACGATTTATCAAACGCGAAACTTTTGTAAGGTCTCACCTTTAGCGTTAATGTGGTGTAGTATATTAAAACTCACTCTCCATGAATATGTTTTTGGAGAGACGATACAATAAATTCGGCCTGGATACAGCACAAGAACGTAGGGACATCTAATGCTTAATATTAAAGTAAGCTAAATACGTATCTTATTTTTATGGCGTCTTAAAAATAATGATCCCAATGGCCAACGACAGATAAGAAGGGTCTTATCGCCGGTTTTGTCATTTTTGACAAGGTTGATAAGATTGAGCGCTGCCCGTTAATAGCAAGCGGTCCTCATCTGTTGTCAACACAGATAAATGACAGAACAAGTAAATGACAACGCGGATAAGTGAGTAGACGGATAAGTTAGTAGACGGATAAGTTAGTAGACAGATAAGTTAGTAGACAGATAAGTTAGTAGACAGATAAGTTAGTAGACAGATAAGTTAGTAGACGGATAAGTTAGTAGATGGATAAGCGACTAGACAGATAAGTGACTGGACGGATGGGTGAGTAGATGTATAAGTGAGTAAATGGATAAATGAATAGATGGATAAGTGATCAGATGGATAATTAGGTAGAAAATATGTGACTAGATGGATAAGTTACAAGGTAACATAATTGTAGTATTAATTGTGTAATAATTACCTGCGCGACGGCGGCAGAGACAGCGCGGCTCACGCGCCCACCACAGCCCCGGGCGACGCCGTGCAGGTCCTCACGCTCCTCAGGACCTGAGACACACAGCGTGATGTTAGGCTACGGCCATCACGCTCCTCAGGACCTGAGACACACAGCGTGATGTCTTAGCCATACACTGAGATACACAGCGTGATGTTAGGCTACGGCCAGACTAAAAGTGTTGACGCATACGCTAGCTGACGCTTCAAGCAGAGCAGCGCCGCGCAGCGCGTATAGTGGCCACACTAGACGCTGGACCGCGCAGCTTACGGCGAGTCAGTGTGTAGAAATAAGTGTCAGCAAGAGATAAGCAGCCGTTCTCCTTGATAGAAGTTTTATGGGGAAATAAAAGGTAAATTTTAAAATCCCATTTATAATTTGATTTATCCTTTTTCGATTAGGAAGATACTTTGATAGGTTATATTATATATGATGCATACTTTGAGAGTTCAACCTTAATTACAAATAGACTTCAAGCGCATGTGCAATTTTTAGTAAAAGGAGTAATCCAAATAGATTTTTTTATTTTACTTATTTATTTTGCCTACATTTATAGAGTATATGTATATCCTTTCGCGGTGTTGTGTGTGAGAGCAGATAACACTCGCCGCCTGAATTGACGAGAGCAATGCTTCGACATCCTCCCCTCACGGCTGCTTCAAGGACACTGCACGCACCACGCAGCGCAGCGCGGCGATATTTGTCCAGATTAATGTGCTTTTTTCACCGCGCGACGCAGCGCCTGTCAACGTTTAGTGTGGCCACTAAGGTAGAAATACATATAATATTGCAGCTTCAGAGCGTCGGCCTGCGTACGCGTCAACTGTCAACGCTTTCAGTCTGGCCGTAGCCTTAGCTGTACAGCGAGGTGCACAGCGTGATGTCTTAGCCATACAGTGACGTACACAGCGTGATGTCTAAGCCATGCAGTGACGTACACAGCGCCATGTTAAGCCATACAGAGATGCGCACTCCACATGTGTTGAAGACAGCAGCTTCATACAGTTATAAACAAATAATACATTATGTATTATTTAAAATTTTATTTATTAAAGTAAATAAACAAATAAAACATGTTAAGACTCACGCCAAGCTGTGATGAGCTGTAGTCGTTTCATAACCAGAGCTTTTCTCTGCATTTCCTTGGTTGTTTGCAGCGCCGTCCGGCCTGTGGCCTTCTTGGGACGCCCCCTGGCCCCTCTACTGGCCCGCCCATCGCCGCTGCCGCGACCAACGCGCACCATGCACGACTCAGCTGCGTCAGCAAATACACAATTTTCATCCGTATTTGCACTATAATTATACCTTATTTATTTTTGATAATATTTTGGAACAATAGAATCCATCTAAGCGAAAGGAATTGGATTATTAATTTTGTTTTGCATAATTTAAAATGCAAACCGAGTGAACTGAGCAGCATGAATATATGACAATCAATGCTGGTCACGCTTAAACAGCTACTGCTATCCTATTCAAGTGTTAATAGATGCCTTCATTTCAATAAAGAAATCAAGCCATTAACGGATTTTTCTGCAAATGAAAGTATATATTGAACAGAAGTAATAACTCTTGAAAGTTCAGCAATAACCTTCACGGCGAGAGGCCGATCCTGCATCGGTTTAGGTAGTTAGATGGCAAGATAGCTGAATTTCCACATATTCTTGCCGTTTTAGATGTAAATCTTGTGGAGGAGATAGAAAATTCTTACCTAATGAATTCAAAGTTTTCAGGATCATATGAAATAAACTGCTGGCGTTAAACAAAAAAAATTCCTCACTCTTCAATGTCTTGGTGAGTTTATCTTCTTCATTTTTCTTTAGTCCTTTGAACTGGAGAACACCTCCCGCCACGCTCTCGTACATGAGGCAACCTCTTGCTGGGTTTCCATCAGCAGCTTTGTCAGCAGTTTTGTCAGCAGCGTTGTCAGCAGTTTTGTCAGCAGCCTTGTCAGCAGCATTGTCAGCAGTTTTGTCAGCAGTTTTGTCAGCAGTTTTGTCAGCAGCGTTGTCAGCAGCTTCAGAGCTACATGCAGGATCCCCCTCAAGCTCACGCAGAATTTGACTCTGATGACATACTAATGAGTTTATATTCACGTTTACATGGCAGAATGAGGTCAACTGATTGAATTAATAAAAAATATAATTACCAAAATACAGAAAAATAAATTAAAACATTGATGAAAAATCACAATCAATATAAGGAATCTACAAAAATTAGTATAAGTAGAAATAAACATTTTTGACATACTGTCAAATTATACATAGTACATATACATAAAAAATGCATTGACTAGGAAATTGAAAGAAATAAATTAAAAGGGCCGGCCACTGGCTCAGCAACACGATGATTCACATACTTTCACCAGGATTGCTGACTTATTTCGGGTTTCAGCACCTGTAGTGATTTCTTGCAATTCTAGAACTCCAGCAGATGAAGACGCTACTCTTGTTTTCTCCTGGTACTTGAAACGCTTGACACATTGCAGGAGATGTGAAGCATAAATAACTGAAGAAACAATATGTTTGCAACAAATACAAAGCCGTTCATTGTTACTGCAAATAGATTTTTCAATGCTGGCAAGTTCAGGGTCGTTTGCTGTTGAAGGTAACTCACTCAAACTGAATTCTTCTGTCTCATGATGTCCATGCTTGTTTTGGGCAGCTCGATTACCTCTGGTCTCACAGGCACGTTGTTCATCCAACAATTTAGTCATGCTCATCAATTTATTAGAGGAGCCTGATTCATAATCATTGGAAGAATCTTTCAAGAAAGTAGATGCTCTAGATCGGGTTGATCGAAAATACTTGCTTGTGCCAGTCTCATTCTGGGATGTTGAATTTAATCTGATTAAATTAGAAGCAGTCACGGATGGTGGAGTACATTTCATATTCATTTCAGGTGGAGTTTTTATAAATTTGGAAGCTTTACTCTCATTACTGAGGATGGAACATTGCAAAGTTTCTGCATGACCAAGGCGGGGGCTACATGAAAGTTTGGCTTTTTTTGATACTGGAATGTATAAATCATCATCATCATCATCAATCACATCTGTAGCTTTTGATTCTATCTCGCTATTAATGTGAGCTTCACTCCCCACATTTTCATTGTGAGGAGCTTGATCTGACTTGCCAGGGATGCTTGAAGAAAGCTCAGGTAGACAATGATTTTTCACTCTAGTTTTTGATGAGACACTTTGCAAGCATTTTGCTTTCTTGGGTGGCCTAGAGAACATGAAAAAGAGGCTTAAGCAATTATAATTAATTCAATAAAAATTACTCATCGTAGCTGGCTTGACATTCAATGAATACCATTTAAATTATAACATTTGCAATCTCTACTGATTCCATGATACCATAATATGAATCAGTTCATAGCAAAATGAGAAATAATTAATATCCACAATTTTAGAAAATAGAAATTAAAATAAAAATGGTTTCTCTACTTTAATAGCGCTTGAATTAATATACCTGAAAGATACGGATTTCTCTGTGAAGTCATCAGTGATGTCAAGGTCTTGGCTGGGAAATTCATCTACCAAGGATGCAGTAGAGCCGTAGTTTTTCCTCTTGCATGATAACCGGCCTGACATGGTAACACTCAACTGTAATGAAAATGAAATGCAGTTAAAAGCAAACCATACTTACAAATTTAAGGTGAAGTTTTGTACTTCAAGCACACCACTTGAGAAAATCATCAAAATAGCGGAACATATTGAGCAAATGATATATGACACGAAAAGAGAATTAGCAACTAAAGATGAAAGATATCCCATGTGGCTGAATATCAAAAATTTTTGCATGTCTGAAACAAACATGGCCAGATTTACTTATCTTTTAGCCTTATTAAAGTGCTTTCAGCCATACAAGAAGAACTTCATCATTACTATTATATACCATAACAATTGAATGAAATAATTTCTATTAGTAGCAAATTCTATTCAATAGCCAATATCCACAGCTTCCAGAATAGTTGAAGATTTTCTTGACTGGCTTAACTTGCTCGGGTGCCAGAGATTGCAAGTCTCTACAGTGCCCTGCATTTGATACTTCACTGATAAAATATTGATGAGGCTAATGTTCAATATTCAATTCACCATACAACAAACTTTCAGTCTCTTGCTAAATATTATTAGTTAAAATTTGTTATGTTTTTAATTTATTCCCAGAATGAATCTCACGGTCAAAAATGTCATTACAATTTGATGTTTAGCATACAAATAATACTTGAATTTTTTAGTAGTTATAACTGAGATATGTATAATAGGTCAGTGCAAGTGGAAACATATGCAGAGCACTGCCCTGGGCTCAAAATGAAGATAGTAATTAGAAGTGCAAATTTAGTGCAGAAGTGAAATAAGTGACTTGAAATAATTGTTATTTAACAATCATAAATAACAAAGAATTCAGCAACAAAATAATGAGATTAAGATAATGAGCTGCTAAAATAAAAAAGATATCATTTACCATATGAGAAGTCTATTTTGCTTCATTTAGCATTGATTCACAAAGGAAATGAGAAACTTTCTATCTTGTATTTGCATTCAACCCAAGTAGCATCTTTTTCAATATCCTTACCAAATGCAAATCTCTATAAAACTTCAAAAAATTAAGAGGTAAATGCAAGAATTAAACACACCATCTTTGATTATACTTAAATTTATTCATCAAAACAAAGTCTGCAACATGCAGAAGATTTTTTTTGCTTGTGAGAGGAAATGAGTAATTAGCAGCTGTACAATTATATACAAGAGAAAAATATTTATGTCACAATTATAAACTTATTCTGATTTAAAGCTACTTTCAATAGAAGCATGAGGTATATTAAAAAACCTTAGTGAAAAGAAATACCTCACTTCAGTAGATTTAGCATGAAAGCAATAAATAAAGATGAACAGATTAAAATTTAGCACCTACCATCAATGTGCATGAATATACCCCACCCAATGTGAAAGACAAACAAACTGAGCTGTATATGATTTTTAGGAGACAATGCAATTGAGACTTCCAAACCCTGAAATACAGTACCCATTAAATGAGATAAAAAATTATTAATATCTGTTATTATTCTTTTCATGACATTACTCAAATTGATTTACCCAAAAATCACAGATAAAAAAATTTTTCTACCAAAGTCAGACAGTTTTTACTTGCATATTAAGGAGAAAAATTATTAATAATGAAAACATTTCAACATGGGAGGCTTTTCGAAATAGTAGGTGAACATTTCCATTATTCATATTACTAGGCATCTCAAAGAAAACAGGTTTTAAGATTACTCCTGCTCACATAATCATCACTACTAAACCCTTCCATGAAAACAAAATTATTCATTGATAATTCTCATGTAAGATTTAAGAACCTCAAAACTTAGGTCATCCTGAGCAGCAATTTTGTTACATATAAACTTGTTGATCAAGATACAATTTAGACGACTCCAGCTCAATGTAATGCACTAAAGGTCCTCCGGAGCTGGTGTCTCCTTCAAGATCTGATCGAATTTATCCAGGTCCACAGTCACACCACTTTGTAGATCAACGGACAATGACATAGTAGCCTTTTCCTTTGCAGTCATCAAAACGTTATGGCTCAAGTTCAACTTCTTCTTCTCTACCTGGCCATCATGTGTTGAGAACATGTTGCAATATTTCTCAACATTTTTCAAAAAATTTGTATACAACCTGAAAAATAGAGTGACAAAAATGAATTTAATATATTGTAAACAACTTATAAATTTGAAAAGTATATAGATAGATAAACAAATATAAGTTAAATATTTTACATCAATGAATTTATGCCCACCTTATACATTTTAAAGGTATTAAAGAAATTCACAGAAAAGATCATGAACAATTAATACAATTATATATATTTTCATTTTGAATACTACCGTATTGTATATTAGCATTAGGCCAGTAGCCCAATTCCTACAAACTTTAATTAAATTTCACTTACACAAGTGGTATGGTGACAGCAGCGAGGCCTCCTAGGATAGCTAAAGAGTAATAATTTCTGAGGATATAAAATTTGGTGCCTCTTAAGCGCCGCTTAGACATTGGTTCTTGCTCAGGCAAACTCATTTTGACCAGCAATTAGAACAGCTCTTTATATTTTATTTTCAGAATCAAGATTAGGTCTGGAGATAACTTAGTGACCTAAGATTCAAGATTTTGTGACCTAAAAAACATTCAAAGTGAGACCATTACTATGTATAGGTATTAGGTCAGCTACCATGCAACACACAAGTCAACCGTCAACCATATTCAAAGTCAGCATTTTTAAAAGTACCTATCTGTTGATTCAACTTGATTGCACCACAAACACACAAACATATAAGCATACCTATTTCTATGCATCATAATGCATCATTGCATGTGTGATGTGCCCACATATGTGCACACTTACACAAACTCCTCTTATTTAAGAAACAAAAACAAAAAGGGAAATTATAAATTATGGGAATTTTAAACACCCTATTTTAACCAGGACATCTCATCTCATCTTGGTATTGTCCCGAAATTCCCATGGAGTGCTGAAAATTTTCCCGGCTTTTATTGCAAACTGGGACTGTCTCATCTCGAATGGACTGTCTGGTGACTCTGGTCTCTTTCTTGTCTTATCTTGAATGGTCAAAATTTCCAAACGCAGGAGTCTAATGTCTTCCTCTAAAAGCTCAGAAGTAGCTCAAGTAGGAACTCTCACCGAGTCACCTGGTTGATCCCGCCGTGATCCACATCAAAATTAGCCGCCAGCGATAGGGTTGGCTTTTCCCGTCATAGTGGCGGGCCGCCACTATGACAGGAAAAGCCAACCCTATCGCGTCTGCCATGTCAGCAGCAGCACTGCCAGCACACGCGACACGCTCAGAGGCGGCAAACAAAAAAAGAATAAATAAATAAAACCAAAATTAAGTTGACGATGTGATTTGATGATCTTGACGATGAATACCAAATCTTCAAATTAAGCAAGGACTTACACCTCACAGAGAACAACAGCTGAACTGCCAGCATTCCGGAATTTTGGCATAACCTTAGATCCGTAAAAGATAGTCTTGGCCAACCCAAATTTGAAATTTTATCAAAATTTATTACAAATTTGTCAGTTCTTCCGCATTCATCAGCCTGCATCGAGAGAATTTTCTCTCAAGTTGATAACGTAACGACTTAAAAAAAACTCTCTGAAAGCCGCAACTAGACGAGACCGAATCCGCGCTAAACAAACGTGGACGAAACGTGGTCAGTTACAAGAGCCATGGCATATACAGGAGAAAACTGCCATTTACAGGAGATAGGAAAGTAGATTAATGGGTGCAAGACATGCTGATAAAGCTGTTGTTTACGAGGGGGATGATGATGAATGATAATTGTAAGATGTTAAATAACTGTTCAAAAAAAATTGGAGATATGTTAAATTGTAATTTATGTTTATCCCTTTATATCCATACTCATTCCTATATGAACAACAAGGATTTATTGCTATGAATTACATGTTTGGAGAAATCTAGGTTTTTTTCATTCAATTCTAGGTTTTTTCGGAGGTATAATCTAGGTTTTTCAAAAAATAGTCGCTGGCAGCAAGGCACTGGATTAGTCATCAGTGATGCGCCTGGCGCGATGGAGCAGGATATACATGAGCTGCTCTCCGAGCAGTTCGTCTAAGCATGTTATTCGTGCTGCTAAAATTGCATCTACGCAAAATTTGTAGACATTTATTATCCTCTAGTTGTACATTAAAATGGCAATGAGACCTCGGAATTGCCTCACATATCATTATTTGAAGTTCCCATTTACTCATAATATATATTTCAGTTAGTTGCTATTTTCAACTGAATTCCATTTCATCACACGTGCTATTTTTAAGCAAAAATAGTCATTTCCATTACATTCGATAGTAAGACTTCCTGCTGTTTGAGATTTTCAAAGTTATTTGCCCTATACATCGATCAAAAATTGAATTGTTCGTTACCTCTTGAAGTTTTTCCATGATGCATTATTCACCAGCACTTCTTATAATGACTCAATTCATGAACTGAAATTCAAATGACGATTGGAAAGATTCATTAATTGTTTGTAATAAAAATATACTGATATGTATAGGTTCTCCTGCTATTCGGAAAGACGGTTTGGCTCGCAAATGGTTTACCAACAAAATCTATCTAGCGACTTGGAATCAACTCGTCTCTGCATAGTAGAGTCCTAGCCTAACCTGTACAAATTTTGCCTTCCATTACGTTCAATGTTCAAACTACTCGCATAACTAAGGGACACTGTTGTACGTAACTGTTATTGCGTCAGGATAACTCATCAGGATCTATTTAATGTGGGGTCAGATCCTGGTCGCTGGTCGTTATTTTGTCGAAAATTCTAGCACGTTTCGGTAATACCGCCTCCCAGAAAAAAATTCGCAAATAATTGGCCTAGTTTGCAATAAATTTCTCGCACATTCTTCGATTAAAACCAACATTTCACAATGTCTTTGTGCGTCAGGGTAAAAAGAAAATTAAACTGCAGACCAAAATATAAAACAGTAGCCCGTCAGTAGGTAAACATATATAAACAGTGAATAAACGATTCAGATTTCAGAGAATAACTGCAATATACCAAAAATTTTATGAAATAAAGTGCACCTATTAAATTTGCATAAACTGGATCATGAATGCAGCTGCGAGTTGAAGTTGGTGTGGTGATATGACTCAGTTACCTGCAGCTTCTAGGGTGTGAGGCTGAGTATAGTTATTGCAATATGAGGGTATATGCGTTTGCGCTAGGGCTTGTTTATGAGTTAAATTTTTGGTCAACGGCTGCGCTCCCCATTTAAATGCCCTTAGTTTAATTTTTGCTCACGGCAGGGGATGATACCATGTATGGAACGATGGTAAAATGATTGATGATTGGCAGAGGCATGATAATGTTACCTCAAACACAAACTACCGCCATTGTGGGTCTTTTAGGGAGATTTCAAGCGACCATATATTGCAACTTGCTTGCCCGTTGAATAGGTAATGCAAATGGAATAGAAATTAGTTGGAGACTTCACTAAATTTGTGTTGACAAGTTTCCTGTTACTGTGTCACGAATTAACAAATTATGGCACGCATATCCTTGATGGAGATGTCATTCTGTTCCTCATTTCTGATGAACTTACTGCTAATATTTTAATTGAGGTCTGATATTCATGTTAACATATATTTTATTCATCTCTCATGATCAATATGCTTTTTCATTTAAATTTCTCCTTGTATATTAGCGAAATATTTTCTGCATTCAGCTAAAAAGGTGAGGGCACATATTACATATTAAAAAATTCTTTACTGTTATCGATGTTCATATCAAGATTATCAGCACTGCATTCTCTTATCGTTGATGTGTTACCATTAATCACTATGCACCCCTTTAACCGCTTCAGATCTTTGTATCAAAAAGTTAAGGTTATCAATATGCACTAAAATTTTCCGCTAAAATTCCTCAAAAAATTTAAATTTGCTGGGCGAAATTTCCCAAAACGAATCGTTCAGGAAATCTTACATAGCTCACAGTGAATCTAACACTGAGGAAAATCAATATGTTATAGTCAAGTGATGATTCACTTCCGTACACGTCTAGGACAAATTTACGGCCGGACCTTCGGCCGGTCTCGCGGCCGCAGGACTCCAAACATAGAAAAAACCTAGCCAATCAACGAAAACCTCGCTGGTTAGGTCCAGTTAGGAACAGGTTCCATTAAAAACACAAAAAACCTAGAAAACCCATAAAAACACTAAGAAAACCTTTCCGGCCGCGGGTTCGGCCGTAAATTTGTCCGAAACCTCTTCCGTACCACGTAGCACCAGCTGAGAGCATTCTTTTGCCGGGCCAAATAGTGGTAAAATGAACCAATCTAGAACCAAAAAGTGCATCGCTATTTGCACAAATTCTCACTCATTTCGTGCGATATACTTTCTATTTCGAGGTGAAAATTTCCCCTAGCTGTACATTTGAATATTTTTAGTTCTAGTTTCTCCGTATAATGTAACGTTGTTTGATATTTTTCGTTGATTATTATTGCTTATTATACGCTTGTGTAATTGATTTTCAGGTGACGCCGCAGTGGTTGGCATCCAGTCACGCTGTTTTAGCCTATAGTTCAGTCTAATATGTTAGCCTAATATATTAAGATATTGAAGTTACACACTATAATCATTGAGAGTGGTTACCTTTTTACAACAATTCTCTTTAACTTCACTTCTTTTCTGTTTGTTTGTTTGTTTTTGTTTGTCTGTCTGCTACAAATCTTGTAATCGAAATTTATTACTTCTACTTATCCTATCGATCTGAAATTTTGCACACTTGTGTAAAGTTAGAGACAATGCATGAATCAAACGTCAAAATAAATTATTTTAAAAATTGATAAAACAAATTTTTTTCAATATTATAAAAATTGAAAAAATAATACCGGGCACGTGCCAGTCTTAAGGCCCGGTCCACTGCATACTGCCGGGCACGTGCCAGTCTCAAGGCCCGGTCCACTGCATACTGCCGGGCACGTGGAAGGCATATACCTGTCATGGTCCAGTCCAATATTCTTTAAAACATTTCCATGCAAGCATTCACACCTAGAGCATGGCATATGCTTTGCATGACGGTTATGTATTTATACATATTTGCATTACTCAAGATATTTGCATTTTTAGGGAAAATCCCCGTATTATTTCGATGCAGCTTCTTGACATTAATTTTTAGAGTGAAAAATACAGTTTATTTGCTTTGAAAGCCTCTAGTTAAGCACCGATAACTACAATTTCTGAACTTTCAAGCTATAAAATATTTTGATATCTGGTGCTGCTATACTTTCTTTGTGAGTATGGTGAGTGAACGTGATGCATGGTGCTGCACGTTATATACGTGAGTATGGTGAGTGAACGTGATGTATGGTGCTGCACGTTACATACGTGAGTATGGTGAGTGTACGTGATGTAAAACACTTGTCTCATATCTTAGGGCCGTAGCCCACTTCTAGAATGTGGAGGACTCTGTGGGAGATCAGTAAAACGTGGTAAAGGGAACAGTGAAAATTCCGCTCGTGAGAAATTCTGCAACTGCTTTAATTATGAGGTGCACTGTTTGTTTTTGACAGTCTCCTCCTCCCAGTAATATTCGTGTGGTCAGAGTCTGGATTTCTAAGCCTTGAGAGGGCGTGCTTCAGTCTCCGGCGCGCTGCACTGTATCGACTGCACTCAAGTAAAAGGTGCTCGATTGTTTCATACTGGATGCAGGTGGTGCACAAGGGGGAGTCTGACATGGAGAAGCGATGCATGTATGCATTCACACCCACATGTCCCAGCCGAAAGCGGGCCAATACAACTGAGACACGTCTAGATCTTGTGTGCAGCCAGGGGACAGGGAGTAAATCATCTCGGAGAGTAAACAGATGGCGACCCTTCCTTGTATCTGCAACATACTGGTGCCAGTTGGCCTGCCAACGCGCAAGGAATTGTCTGTTCAGCCAGTATCTTCTATCGGTGTACTCTACTGGATGGAGCGAGCTATGATTCAGCTCATGTCCCAACTTGGCCGCTCTGTCAGCCAGTTCATTTCCACGAATTCCAGCATGGGCCTTCACCCATTGTAGTATAACTTGTCTATTGGCATTAAGTCTCGTGAGCTTCTCCCGGATTCGGTAGGCCACTAATGAGTGCCTGCTGTGGAAGCCCTTTTGTGTTTGCAGGAGAAGCAGAGCTGAGCGAGAGTCAGAGCAAATGACCCAGTTGGGATGTGAGTCACATTTAACGATAACTAGTGAGTGGTATATGGCAGTGAGCTCAGCGGTCAACACACAGCTCCCCGGGTGCGTCGCCAAGAAATGGCTCTATCTTTTGAAGGTATATAAATACCACAGGCACTGGATTCCTGGCTGGGCAGGCGGGAGCCATCGCAGTAGATGACATGAAAACCAGGGAAATTCTCGCCCATGATAGTCCCAAATTGCACCAAAGGACTCACGACCAATGTTGGTTCCATGCTGTCCCGGATGTA